GAAGGACATTAGACAGCTGGATGGCACAGGTCTTCAGGACCCTGGGGCTGATGCCATCAGGTCCCGCAGCCTTTCCTTGATGGAGTCGCTCCAGCTGTCTTCTCACCTGGCCAGTCGTCACAGAGAGGGGGGGGAGGGGGGTCATAGCGTCGGTGGTGGCAGAGCCCTTTGAAGTGGAGAGCTCTGAGTCCATGCAGCACACCAGGGGGGACAGAGGGGGAGATGTGGTGTGTGGAGGAGACAGATGAGGGCTCTGAGCTAAACCTATTGAAGAAAGAGTTTAGCTCCTTGGCCCTCTCCAGGGAGCCCCCTGGTTGTCTCCCTCCAACCTTGAAGCCGGTTATCTGCTTCATTCCAGTCCACACCTCCTTCACGTTGTTCTGCTGGAGTTTGGCCTCCAGCTTCCTCCTGTAGGTGTCCTTGCACTCTCTGATCTTCATCTTCAGGTCGCGCTGGACTCTCCTGAGCTCGTCCCTGTCCCCCGACCTGAAAGCTGCTTTCTTCTTGTTAAGAAGAGCTTTCAGGTCACTGGTGATCCATGGCTTGTTGTTGGGAAACAGCTGATATCAGGTCAGCACTAAAGAGGCTAACATTAACTCACATTAAGTCCTGCCCTCCTCTACGCTTGGTGTTAATTACACATGGTTAGCTGAGCGTCGACGGTTCCTCACTTCGGACCTGGCACTGTCCAACACCCAGACTGGTTGTAATTGGCAGTAACACAGCAATAAAGTCCGGGGTCACTGGCTTGATTCTCTTCCAGGTTAACCTTGATATCTTTGATAGAGTGCAGTAGGGCAGAGGTGAGGCAAACCATGATGGAGTGTGTGTGTTAATAGGTAAGATATTTCACCTGATTTTATTATCATATGACATCCATATAGGGTGTGCTATAAGAAAAAAACGAGCACTATACTGTGTTGAACTTGGCTGCTAGCTGAGTCAGATGTCTATGCATCTCTTTGATGTTCCCACTCAGCCTGCTATGGTTTGTTTTATCTCCACTCCTCACTTTCACATGGCTGTCAGTCCACATCTGGACATTTTAAAAGCAAACTGCCCAGCCCCACTCCCCACACAACCTTTGGATAATCAGCACATTTAAAAACCCAAATTAGTTGGATATTAAATTAATGTCGCCATGCTTTGGATTTATGGAAAGGAGGCATGGCAGGCCTTTTCGGTGGGGACTGGGTGGAGTGAGCAGCGCCCTTACATAGCTGACTGTTGCATCTACATGGTATAAATACATCTCTTGAGTCCCGACTCTGATCCAGGCCCACGCTTCCTAATTAAGCTCTTTAGAAAGCAAGCCAAACAACTTGAAGAAAACATGCCCTCTGTTCCTTTAATCATGACCTCCAGTCACTGGGAAATAATGACTTTCAATTATTAACATCTGATTAATGTGTATGTGTGACCCGTGGAGTGTAATTATCACAATTTGTTCTTTAGTCAAAGAAAGATAAAAGTTCAGCATGAAGGAACTAACTCAGCTCAATTAGTGCAGCATAAGAGTCTCACTCCTTAATAGCTGTACAATATTAAACCACAACACACAGTGGTTTACGTTGTTTCCTACTAATCAGGCCTCTTATTCTGTAAAGTAACTAGGAACGACAGGTGTGAAATGAATGTAATGGAGTTAAAACTATAATATTTCCTGAAAGATAATAAAGTAAAGAAGTGCAATAAATAGTGCAGTTCTCCATGTATTATCCTCATTGTTAGTAAGAACCTATTGGATACAGGTTTATGATGTTCATGGGGAAGAAATAGTGGAAGATACTACATGCATAAGTTTAATGTTTCTAGGTTAATGCTGCTCTTGGGGTAAGCATGGTGGACATTTATCATGTCACCACAGTGTAGTGTATATTTAATAACTCTTCTCTTATGGCAGAAACACTACACTTGAGTTAGATGTTATCCTGACATCAGCCTATTGTGTACAGAACTGTGTTTAGAAATTGTTCACAAGGAACATCTTTTACTCAAATATCAGTCGACTGTAATCTAAAGAATCAATGCATCTGTGTGGGCAGGAATAGTGAGGTGGGAGTTATCTTATATTAGATGCAGATGCATACATACATATTGTAGGATCAGTGCTACAATACTGTAGCATTGAGGAGCATACTGGATTAACTGCATGCATCATGTTATTGTAGTTTTATCCTTTTGGATCGAGTAATAATCACAATGCTGCTCTAGGTGTACCGAGTACTCTCCTGTCAGTCTGCATATGCACATTAGTATCACCCAGTGGTGGGCCGTCAGGGCCTGCAAGGCCTTCTCTGCTGGCCTAAACAGAATCACAAAGTTATAACTATTTTATAATTTAATATTTCTTCTTAAATACACTACATGTATTATAATTTATAAAAATATTTTTCCCATTATCTTATGTTCTCATTGCACAGCTACTGTCTTCCTCAGTTGCTCTGCTTCCAGTGCAGCTTGTTTTAAGTAGAGCTTTTATCCAATCAGATTTCACCTCTGTGTCTCTAGGTAAGAACAGAGGCCAGAGGCCTGCAGACGGAGGCCTGCATCCATTTGCAGTTTAAATGAACGGGGACGATATTGTTGATTGTCATAGTCTTCAACCAATCAGATCTTTAGTTTGACATGTTGGGCGTATTCTTTGACGTATCAGAGCCTGCTCGCCGGCCTATGACGTCAGCATTAGTGCAGCTCAGTGTCTGCCGCGAGGTGCAGAGTGCGCTGTGATTGGTCAGTGGGCGAGCACGTGACTATCGTGAAACGAAGCTTAACAGCAGAGGCATGTCGGGTAGTGAATCACATCACGTGATGCAGCTCAGCCAATCAAATATGGGCATTCTGACTGAGTGAGATGCCCCATGACACAGGGGGCTGAGACGAGGAAAGACGCTGCAGAGCAGTACGTACAATGCTCAAGTTGTGAAAGTAAAATCATAAGACGATCTCTTTGTGCCGTGACTTGTCATTAAGGAGTGATGGTGGGTCCCACAGCCAGACCAGCTGAGAACCACTGTCCTCCATGAGTGCAGAAAACATTATATTTTCCTGAATATAAGCTTCTGCATTTTCCAGATGCTCTAGTACTATTCAAACGTATTGCAAGTCTCGTACCGAACTTTACGTACATTTAATACGTACATAGTTACAGCCTTAGAAACTGATAATATCTGTGGCGCCATCATGTGGTTATAAGGTGGTATTTCAGCTGCAGGACAACAGTGAAGGCCCAGGTATAAAATGCACGGCCCGCCACTGGTATTACTGCAGCTGGGACTACATGTTGGTTAAAACATCATAATATTTGAGCATCAGTGTATTCTTGAACCTTGTGGTTCTTTCCTCACCTTTCTTTCCTGCCTTGTGGCAAGAAAATCTTTTTTATGTATATCTTTTTCCAAAAAGTATTCAATCAATGCAAGATTTAGTTGTCAAATCAAAACCTTTTATTTTACCTTGAAAGAACAAGAAGCCACAACCACTTTAAGATGTCACTGGTCTTCTCAGTTATCCAATTATATTCCTCTCTGCCCAGAACCCTTTTCTGAAGTCAAAATGGGAGTAAATACAGGAACCTTAAAGTTGTACTGGAGAGAATGTTCCACTACTGGGCAGGATAACAATACATGAGCACTCCTTATATGTGTATGCTGTTTTCTAGCAGCTATAGCTAACCAAGTGACCTCTTGTTACTCTTTTCTCCATGAGTTTAAAGTCACTGATTCGGTGACTTTGTGAGAACATGAGGCTGTTATTACTGCTAGAACATAATTTCCAAAACAATAAATCCAAGGTCAAGATGTAATAACAGGAAATGATCCATTCATGCCTCGTTCATATAGAGTTGAAGGTGGAGGAGGAGGGGTGTTGTAAAGAGTGCAGACAGGGAGTCTGCTGGTCAGTGTAAGATTAAGGGCGGCATTGTAGCGTCATCAACGGTAGCCTAGCAACAGGAGTATGTGTTAACAACAACAGCAGTCTGACATGAGGCTCATGCTGAGAGTCTGGACTGGGTGGGACGCAAGCACACACTCTATAAAGTACAGTCCCCCACCCACAAGCACACACATAGAACACATGGTTCAAGTATCTGACACCCAACCCCAAATACACATACTGACCCCCTCTCATACACAACAATATATATACACACAACGTAACCCACATTATCTCTGCTGCTGATTAGACCTTATCGACCAATCATTCTGACTTTCTTAGAGAATTTCCTCATATTGCCAAACCATCAATATCCTTATAAATAACGGAGACAACTAATAGGCTACAATAGCTTTCTCTCTTTGGGCTCTCCAGCTCTCTGTCCCCTCAAAGCTGAGCACATCGGCCAACAGTGTGAGTTTACATGTTGAAAATCACAAAAACTGAAGCTTTACCCTGGTCACTCTGTGCATGTCAATGTTGATAAGGGTAGCAATTAGCTTGTTCATTAGCAAGCACTTTATAAAGCAGCAGCCTAACAATAGCCCAACATTTTAGAGGAGCTTTTCAGTATCTTTTCTCCTCAAACACAAAGTGTATTTCATCTCCAAAAACTTCATAATGGATTATCTCTTAGAAAAAGCTCTTAAATTAGTCTTCATATATATCTTCTCTTTTACATAAAATGTCCTCATTAATGTTTGTTTTTCCATTTAGGAAATAGTCTAAATGAATTCCCTTTCTCCCACAGCTCTTAATTCACAAAGTATTCTTACTCAGAAAGTGTCCAGTGTTTTCCCATAATGGTCCGTGTTAATGTCTATTTACCTCTGAAAGTATTTTGTCTAACATATAAAATGGTAGACGTTGGTCATTTTTCCAGTTCCAACATTCACAAAGGGTAAATATAATTTTTTCTGTTCTATACATCCTCAAAAACTACTGATTTTCCTTAGAGTCTATGTTGCTACTTGGCAACCAAAAGTCTCAGTCTTTTCTGAGGTTGTGAGAATGGAGGGTTGTGGGCTGACAAAGGTACCAGGTGATAGCTGGCTGTTACTTACCTTTACAGGCGAAGCACTTGATGTGGAAGTGTTTGTTCTGGACCCGGAGTGCCTCTCCTTTGCACGGCTTACCACAGTTCTGACAGGGGATAGGTCCTCCTCCTCCTCCTCCTCCTCCTCCTTGCTTTTGTTTCTGCTTCTGCTGCTCCAGAGGGCTGTGGACAGCCTGCTGCTGAAACACTGCAGGGGACAGACAGAGACAGAGAAAGGACCATTTCAGGTCTTATTCTAGAATACAGACACAAACATTGATGAAAACAGCCAAACTGACACTTGGACTTATTGAATTTGATGATACATCTGGCAGGTATCTACCAGACAGTGTGGCCAACTATTTAATATGATATATAAGTTGAAGTCTTTGTCCCATTTCCCTTTGTTTCCATACCCATCTTCGTCCTCCCCCTCCCATCCAGAAGTCTATACATGACATCATGGCAATAACTGAAGACATAACTGAATAGTAGAGGCCATTGATGCAATATTCAACTACCGATTCCATAATAAGGGGAAATGTTAAGGGCTACAACTGACATGATCTATAGCAGCAATTAAATCAGTTCAATCTACGAAACTAAAGATTGATTTTTTGATTGGTAATCAAATATTTTTGGGCATTGAAAATATATAATACCAAATACTGCTTGTAATTAGCTTTAATCCATAAATATAAATAGCTCTGGCCTTCTAAACACTTCACAGTGACCCCTGTATTGATACAAAGTTTGTTTGTCTCCATTGGGATCTTCAAGCTTCAAGCACATAATCTCACGTCTTGCTTATTTTGTGTCACATTTCATTACTGAAAAAAACATTGCCTTAATCTAAAAATACCCAGCTCTTCACTTCAGATGTCACATCAGATAAGGATATGAAAAAAACAATGTCTTTTTTATATTCTTAGATTCATGTGAACACACACAGTTGTTTCTTGTTTCCATCACTTAAGGAGACAGTGCAGTTTCTTACATAACCATAACCACATGCCTAACCCGAACCAATGCAAGCCAGCAAGTGCAAAATTGAACGATTTATAATGTGGGGACCAGCTTCTTGACCCTATAAGGGAGGAAGGTCTGAGTATATGACTGAGTAGACCGGTTTATGCCCCCACGCGAGGATGGATGTCCCTCTCTCTCTCTTACACACACACACAAATGGAAAAGCCTAGATCACTTCCCAATCACTTTTAAAGCAGTTACTGTGCTGTGTTCCAGGGCCCTTGGTGGTCAGTCCTGCTGCTGACATCTCCACCCTAACAGCATCTTCAGTACAGCTCGCCCTTTTCCCCTTTCATCATAACCCTGGCAGAATATGCTCACATACTGATCGGCCTTTCAATACCGACAGGGGCATCAGCTGAATGAAAGGCCTTTTGTGTTCTCGGGAAAAATCTGCGTCGTCAGACCGGTTTCATCGGGCCTCCATGGTAACCGGTAATTGGGCTTGGAAAGGGGAGTTCATCAAATGAATTGATTTTGAGGGAGACAGAGAGAAAGAAGCGTAGGGATAATAGTGAGCCAAACAGAGCTGCTGGCAAAAAACTCACCAGGAACTTCTTTCTCTGGTAAGTGTTTCTTTTTTCAGGTCCTCCGGTTGTTTATTGGGGGGGTTTTATGAGCACAGCATTTTGACTTAGATTGAGTTAAAGCTACAATATTTTACTGTTTTTCTAAGCTCTAATGTGAAAACTTTAGACTGGAGAGACTGAAAAACAAATGTAGTGAAAGTAAGTCACTTCATTTGGACAGACTGGCCACTCCAACCACTTAAGTTGAATTTGAAACACATACTGTTGTAAAAAACTATATTAGTATTAGTACAAGATATTATCTATTTGTCTGTGCATTAAGTACAGAGCTGGAGTCAGGACATGGTTAGCATTAAGACTAAAGGCAGGGGGAAACAGTTAGCCTGGCTCTTTCCAAATTAAAGTCCATGCATGTACAACTCGCAAAATTATGAACATGCAAATGCCCCCCTCTTCTTAAAGAAGCGTGACCTGCTTGGCTGGGGGTTACTTGACAGGAGAGTAAAAACAGCCACCAGCACAGCCAGACCTACAGGAGCAACACATTTTCAGCAAGTTTTACAAGGACATCTCCACAACTGTATAGGGACCAAAGCGATTTTTCAACATAGCCTCCATAACCTCCTTAGATCTCTTTAGAATGATAAACTTCCATCATTTGTTTTGGCTAGGTCTTTTGCCCGAATTTTCAAAAGTTTAATTCCCAAAGCGGATTTTCATTCAAATAGAAAGTGAAAAGGTGGACCTTGGTGATGATGAAATATAGTCAAAATATATTCTTGAAGTTTTCTTTGGATGATGCTAAAATCCACAGAGCTGCTTTGATTCAATCCATGTGTCTGATTTACGAATTGAATCAAGACAAGAATATGGATTTTCGACTTTGTTGCCTAGTCTATTGTCGGTAGTAGGAGGGACTTTAAATTGAGAGTATATGTGGGCATGCTAACCAATAAAGACAAGAATTTAGGAGGAGAAAGTCTTGAGTTCTCGTAAAAACGGTCTGAGGCCGGGTTGATTGCAACCATCTGGAAAAGAGTTCAAAACAGTTCAAAAGTGAGACAGGGTTGGGAGGAGGGTCAGCAGCAGGGATTGGTAGTCGCAGGGAAGCGGGGAGGGGTTCTGCCCCCTGATCTGACCCAGCATGCACTGCTGGGTCAGGGGGGGGGAATCCAGCGTCTTTACTTCCTCTTCAAACAGCAAATAGAAGAGAAGGGCAGGCATCATATGGAGACAGGAGATTATCTGTTGGGCCAGATGTAGAATCTAGCAAGTTGTCCCAGACATACAGGCTGCCAGTAACCAAGACATTGTCGTGGTCTGTGATAAGGGTCCAATAATCAGTCAGTGGGGTGAGCAGTTTGCTGATTGCTATTGATTACAGACAGTTGACAATGAGTGGTCAACGGAATTTCTGTTCTCATGTCCTTCTTAAGGGTTTCAGCAGGGCAGCGATTTGCATCGTAATGTTTCGAGCATTTTAAAATTCAAAGCAATCAGGGTAACTATCTATCTTTTCACCATAAGGATATTTTCCCCCTTAGTCTGACGAAGTCGATGCTGTGTCCCAGAGTCCATCATTTCCATAGTTTTGCACTGTGTTGATTCTAGCTGGATGGTGCCCACATGGTTCCCTGCTGGATAGTCACTTATTTACAACAACATCTCCCAGCATTCACTTGAAACACTTGGTCATATATTGCCACAGGTCACTAACAGAAGTCAGTGAGGAACAAATCAATTATGAAACTAGGATTGGATACAAAACTGCACACTAGATATCAGAGGCATATTTTGCACCAATGACTTTCTGTCCTTTTGTCCAAGCAACTAGTAGTAAAGAGGTCAAAGGTTAAGATCTCAATATCATGACATTTCTGTGCTTGTAAAGACTGAAGAAAGTTTTGGAGAAATTATGCACCGAGTGGAAAGTAGAAATCATATCTCTCAGAAGAGTGAGTAGATAAGATAGGGAGTGGAAATAATTCAGTTGATGTGAGGAAGTAATGAGTTTCCTTTCTTTGATTGAGAAAAATGAGTAACTGTGCCGTGTACAGCAGCATAAAGATGCCTTCCCCCTCCCGTCCCCCCTACCCATGCCCTGTCTTCTCCAGGACCAGTTGTCCACATCATCAATCAGTCTTTCTGGTGTCTGTTCTCTGGCTGACAGCCAGTACTGATTTTGTTGTCCCAAAGGTCGCAGCCAGGCAGGCAGCTATCTGAGCAATGCAACACTACATGTCTGTGCTGCATACAGTCACACCACTGGAAGCCTCTGGGAACACATACGGACATCTGCAGGTTACCACCCGCACACGTACCGAATACTGTACTGCCCATACATAGGCATGTGGCTACACCATACAGATATACAGCATCATGAAGAAGAACCCAGACATGTATCCAATTAGGTCACTAACATTAAATGAGAAGGAAAACATTCAGTGTCTCAAAGACACTTAAACAGACAGCGTTTAATGCTGGGATTGAAATCCTTCCTACTTTATACGACACTGAAAACAGTAGAGAGACAAACTTCTACAGTATCTCTACTACTTTAAGGTACATGTACATGTAATAAGGAAGCACAGCCCTCTTCACAGTGGAACACACAAGCAGTTATATCTCAGAGGCCTTTTCAAGATGTCAAGCACTTCCTAAAAATAGAGAGTTCCCTCAACTCACGGGGATCCCATGGTTCTCTGCAACATTCCTGGTGTGAACCATCTGCAGAGGCGGCAGGGGTTCAATGTGGTGGCCGAGCTGTTGACCTTGTGTATTTTCACTTTCATTTGAGTAAACACACAAACATGCTCCAGAAAAAAGTAGATTACATGCTATTCTTATTTTTAAGGAAATCCAGTGAATATATGGCGTGATATTGTATTTCTTAAATGATGGTACATTTCTTTCCCATTTCAAAGAGTTCAAATGTATACTGTAGAAGTTACATATAGAACCATTTAAGTGTTGTTTGAGAGATTTGGTGTACAGGGGTCCTTCACAATACTATCAAGGAAATCATTGTCTTTGACGTTTTTCTCATTTGTGTTGGAATTCATTGTAAATATACTGAGGGATTTGCAGCATACCAGTAAAACATTGCTTTGTGCCATTGAATCATTTCTCTTGCCATTGTTTTGAAGCTAGCACAATAGGCATTGATTAGCATTAATTAAGCTAATTTGCTTAATATTAGCCTTCCAGTCATTTAATGGATTATTACAACACTATCTGCTAGATTCCATTTTAATTTGGAAAATTAGCTTCTGCCTGTACCTGAATTCACCATTGTTCATGTATGTTAGTATGGATATTGTTTATTTTTATTTTAATTAAGAAGGGACAATACATTAATTAACATGAGCTATTATGTAAATGTAATAGATTAAGCCATGCAGGCAAATTTCCATCTGCAGTCCCTGGCAGTTTGATGGCATTGAAATAAAACAAGAGAACATGAGCACTGACCCATAAGCACGAGAGAATGTGAAGCATTCAAAAAACCTCTTAAACTAATATTAAGTGCTAAAACTCTTTGATTGTCTGGATTCACATCCTCTCCGGGTCTTGCTGCTACATAAAAAGATAAAAAATATGGAAAGACTTTTTAAAAGCCCTCTGACACCTGGGCTTAGCTTCGTATAGCCATTACTTCACTGCTAAAGAGTGTCCTGCTCGTCAACCCAACAAAACTCCCTCCATCATCTCATCCGCTGTAGTTGCCAAGAAAACGACATGAACAGAGCCTGTAGGCAGATTTCACTGAGTACAAGTCCTGTAATAGAAACAGGGAAAAGGAGCAGAGAAAGAATGACCAATTTACATGACTATGGACACACACAGAATAGATTATGATTTTTTTCTGCTCTCCTCTGAACACCGACATCCACCTGTGCAGTCACACTTGCACAGGTGGATGTGGTGGAGGAACACAAAGGCCAGTGAAGGAGGGAGTGTGAGAGTTGTAGTAAAAAGACAGTGAGGGATTGGAGCAGCACAGAGAGAAACAGCATGACTCATGAATAGAGCCTCTCTGTAGAAAGCATTGTGTCAGCTGTTTGCGCAGAGCTGGTTCAAAAACACAGGCATATGCCAAGCAGGTTCAGCACAACACACAGACCTTCATCAACATCCACAGGACATTAATACCTTAAAGTGCAGAGAGAGACATTATACAGTGTCTAAGTGGGCACAGAATGACCCTTATTAGTCAGACTACATTACTTGTGCAGGGAATTAGAAATCCTGACTTGATAACAAAGACACAACAAAATACCTTTTTATTTTAATTCAAATATCAACAGGGTAATGCTAGAAAACTGGCAGACACACAGATGGTTTGTTTACTGGTCCTATTCTGGTCCAGAATAGTGAGGGGCGTCGCTGTGACTGCTGACTACCAGCCAGCCATTACATCACACACCCAGCATACACTGTCCTTGGCTCAGACTGAGACACAGCCTAGTGCCTAAAGTGTGTGTGCCTCTAGATTACATACCTGTGTGAATGCATGCATGATGTGCACAGCAGCATGTCTATTTTTACACATTTTTGCTGTTGGTTATTAGTTTTAATCTAATTAGAACAAGACTAAATAATAACATTTAAAAAAATCAACGCTCTGTCTTGAAGCATATTTTTCTGTCTGGTATGTCCATGTGCAGTATGTGTGTGTGCGTATGTGTGTGGAAGCACGTGGCCTGTGTGTGTGTGTGTGAGGGTGCCTGTAAGTCCTCACCACCAAACTTTACGAGCTTCGTCACATTGTGATGGTAGTAGACAAAACACAGTTCTGGTCCTGCATTTAGACATCACCAAACAGCAACAGACTAAACACTGGATCGGCTTTAACAAGGCTGTTGAGGACCAGACACTGGAGAGGAGAGGAAATAATTGTGGTGCGTTTATGAAAACCAACAGTGAGGCTACTTTTTACAAGTAACTGGATGGGGGTCGGCAGTGGAAAGTACATTTATTCAAGTACTTAAGCCTATAGTTTTGAGGCACTCCACAAAAGTTCACAGTAAAATTCTCATCCTGGTTTCACTACCAGAGCGTCAGATACCGACGATTGTCGAGTGGCCCTCACCGTCTTGATACAGACCAGGTTTTTAACTAAGTCCAATGTAAACCCATCTGTGTCAGTATTTAACACATATTAAGAGCGAGAAAGTTAAGCAAAGGAAGGGTGGTGGATGGGACAAAGACTTACTAGGGAGACCAGCGTTCATGTCACGATTATTTTTTACTGAGGACGTTATGTCACATGACGTTAAGTTTTTTTGTTGCTTTAACTTTATTACTTCTGGATCTTTAGAACCCCATTAAATAAATACTAAAAACAAGCGTAACGCGGTATCAAACACTCTGTTGGGCCATCCTGCATAACAAGTACTTTTTACGTTTGACATTTTGCTGCTAATACCTCTCCTGTCAAATTTTGAATGCAGTACCTTTACTTATAATAGAGTAATTTACAGGGCGGGGTGGCCGTGGCTCACTGCGTAGAGAGGGTCGTCCGGCAACCGTCGGCAGTTCGATCCTTGGCTGCTACATGTCCTATGCCGAAGTGTCCCTGAGCAAGACACTGAACCCCTAACTGCTCCCCCGGCGCTTCTTAGCAGCCTACTGCTCCCAATAAGCTAGGGATGAGTTAAATGCAGAGGATATATGTATATGACAATAAACTTAAAACTTAACATGCTAGTATTACTTCTAAATTCTTCCACCACCACTAGTGGGGGTTGATTGAAACATGTTGGGACATCTATGAATAGTGCAAACCAAATTGTGCATTGGCACCGCTACATTTTTTCTAAAATCCCATAAATTGTGTTCTTTGTTACTGTAGGTATACACGATATTATACAAAACCAAGATAGTATATTCTTTACCTCAGAGCTTATTGTTCACCCTCAGTGAAAACAAGTCATCCTAGGAATATTATGGGAAAAGTTGAAGCAACCATAAGTCTATATTAAAGGATACAGTAGTTGCAGAGAAAATTTAAATATGCTAAAGCCCTAAAAGGTCACTACAATCTTATTACGCAATGCTAAAGACACACTGTAAATCAGTAGGAATATTGTAGTGATTTCTTCCTAGCAACTGGCCCTCACCCCTTTGTAAGCAGCCCAAATGACTGAGCTCCCAGTGTTAGAGATGCAGGCAGGGGACCAACACAACACTTTTGTTGCCAGGGATGTTGCAGTGAGGCAGGCAGCATATACACCTGCAGCACGAGCATTCAGCCTGCTCCCACAGCCTTGTTGTCAGTCACATTCACACAGAAAGTGTTACACTTCAGACAGGGCTTACATAACAGGAGGCCTGTTTATCTGTGGGTTAAGTACTTCCATAGACACACATACATGCTGTAAACACAAACACTCAATGAATTGTTAGATTACAGATTATTATGATTTACTGTGATAAAACAGTAACTGTCTGCTAAATATAGGAGTGAAATATTAAGATGTATGTCCTGGTTAATACAAGTGAATCCTTAGCTACGACCTCTCTTCTCTCACAGGCAGGTGAACACACCACATATAGCTTATTAAAGGTCATCATTACCTTTCTCCTCTGGCATTGTCAATCTGCTGTTTTCCCAAATATGATATTTAGTTATGTCCTTCAATGATAGACAATAACCCGAAAATCTGTTCAGAGTCCTCTGATGGTGTTGCAACACATCTTCCACATGCTCTGCAGCTCTGGTGTAATAATAGACGGGAGCACAGAGTGAGCGCTCTGTCCGCCACTATCTCTGGAATGAGCTGTAGTTCATATGACTCCCAATGTCTCTCTCGCTCTCTCCATCTCCCTCCCTCTCTCTCGCTCTTGCAGCTATCTGTTATAAATAGAAGCATGTGCAGCTCAAAGAGAATGACACCTCCTCCTGGTAGTTTATCGCTGGGCGTGTCCCAGTCTCCTCAGTCCACACCAAACTCAACTTTGACATCCCCGTGATAACCAGACGAGGGTTCAGTATGTTTAAAATGTGTTTGGTGTAAAACTTTATCAGGGGACATCATTATTTTAACAGTGTATCTAATTAGTATGAGTAAATATTACATCAGTCATTCATGAAAAAAAAAAGGATGTGTCTGTAGAGCTGGAGAGTTCGACTCCTAAAGCATTTTTTTGAAAGAAGAAAATACCAAATGCCATTTACAAAAGGTAAATTTAGTATTTTAAAACCTGGGTTTTGCTTATTCTCATAACTCTGACTACTGCTAATGCTAACTTTGCAGGCACTACTGCTTTTGGAGAGATTTGGGAAACAACTCAAAACATCATATATCAGGGCAAGCAGCGAGAGCCTCCTCAAGCTACACAAACAAATTTACATAAGTCATTTAAAAGTCTTGTCTCCGAGTCTGAACGTATTGGCCTGATACGCTTCTAACTAAATAGAGGTCAACTTTGGAGCCACTTGCTACCTGGATTAGATAATATGTAAAAGGTTGTCACTCTCAGTGACCAACCCACAGGGAATTATCACCATCTCTGCAGCTCCTCTTTATCTTTGTAAGAGGTCACATTTTTCATTTGTAATTAGTCTGCCTGCAAGTGTCAAAATAATCAATTCATGCAGGTATAAAATGAGAGAAGAGCTACATGTACTTTCTGCTGGGTGAATGATTTCATAGGATAAGGAATGTACAGTGTAGAAAGCACAGGACATGAGGAAGTATAGGTCCGCTCTTTTTGTGTGGTATCGACTCAATTTATCAAACCACCCAAACTGCCAACCTACAACTTCTGGCAGACCGAGTTTGAATTTAGTGGAGCTGACAGTGACCGTGAATGTATAGCACAAGGGTGAAATATAATTAATGATGTACCACTAAGTTCACATTCAGGGTCAAGAATAACTATCATAGAAAAATACATTTACACTGTCTTCAGTAACTCTGCGATGGTGTGTCACATCACAATCTGTCTCAGTATTTCAAAGGTTTGGGACTAGATGAGGACAGCTGTCCCTCAGAGAAACTATGAGCTACAGGAAATTAAAAAGGTGGCTAGTTGTATTGAAGCTACGCAAAAACAATTTTTCACTACTTTTCAATACACCTCAATCTAAAAGCAATGATATTGTTCGTGCAACTGCAGCTTGAAATGAACAGTACCCATGGAGAACTGATTGCATAATCATCCAACCTCCTACCTTATCTGCCTGTCTCTATAGACATCATTACACATGTATCTACAGTACAGCTATATGCAGTTCTACTGTGTCGAGAAATCAGATTTATGTTCAAGGTGACTTCATATTGAGCCGCTGTGTGCTTGCAGGTATTTGGAGACTGGCTTTAAATCTCACCATTGAGCTGAGCTGATATCTAATTAATATCCAGGGAGTAGCAAGACTTCGCCTTAGGGATTCATCGCCAAAATCTAAGTAGCTTTGTAACGGGTTGTATATGGACCCAAATGCAACACACCAGATTCCAGGGATCTTTGGCTTTATTGCAAACCTCCAGATACAACAGGCAGAGTTTAATATCAGAGTCATGATCAGAAGGCTGGTGGGTTTACCGGGAGTCAGGTAAGGCGGGTAGAACAGGGGCAGGCAGGGTCGGTAACAGGGGATCAGTCTCTGAGAGCGTGCTGGAGAGTCTGGCATGGAAAACCAAAGAACAATCTGGCAAATGCATCTGGGAGGCAGGAGTCTATATAGGGGCTTGATTACTGATCAGAGGCAGGTGAGTGAACAGGTGAAGGGAGTTTAGACTGATGAGGAGGGAGTGACTGACAAGAAGAGTGAGGAGGGTGTGGAGCTGAACTGTGACAAGCTTCACACCCACAGAGGTAAGGACAGAGCTGGTATACTGTGCAAGGAGGGGCTGGACAAAATAATGTATCATGAAAAAGGACTTTGAAGCCCCCATTACAAATGAAAGGCGATCTTTGAAGTCATATGGTAGATGGTGCAGTTTTTACTTTTCTGTAAATCATTTTGTAATAAGGAAACATAATGGTTCTATACATAATACATAATGTAGCATGACTCGACTTACTGATCAACAGTTGGGAGTGTTTCATGAGAAATTAAATATTCAAACAATTTCTACGGCCAAAGCATAAAGCAAATGGTTTTGTGTTGTGACTGAACACTGTAGAGAAAACAATGAGGTCATTCTTCATCCTGCTGCTGTGGGGTCACCATTGGTAATGGGAATGATGTTGGACCTTCTCCATCTTCTGGGCCCCAGGAAAACAATGGCCACTTCCACAATGTTGACAATGTTGACAAAGGAAGTGCTCACTAAACGATAGGAAGCTTCAGGGGAACAGCGTGCATGGTGGACTTCGCCATGTGACTCAGCAGCAGGCACCGCTCGTGTGTGTTTGTTTGTGTGTGTTTGTGTGGGAGTACGAGAGGGAAAGAAAAAGACACAGGATCTGCATTGCAAATCATCTGGCACTAGAGCTGCCAAGTGGCATCTACAACAAATCCAAAAGTGGGACCAAAAAAGAGCGCTGCCACTTTAAGCCAAGCCAAAACAATGAAGCCTCAACACGATTTACAGCTGCATGATGACATTCATGAGGATCAAAATGCCAAATATGATAATAAAAATGCCACTTTGGGCTTTTGTCATAGGAATTTATGTCTGCATAATTCATCCTGAAAAACAATGACTCGGCTATTTCCCTCTGACTGTGATTAATGACAATGGTTGAGTTGCAAAAATGTGGCAGCAACTTTGTCAAATGTTATAGAGGAGCAAGTCTTGCATGGCACTGACATGCATGTTAAAAAAGCAACTGCATCTGCTAGAGAACAAATACGGTAACAATGCAAAAAAAAGAGTGTGAGAGAGAGAGAGAGAGAGAAGGTGGTTTCCTAACTTGAGCATACTCATCTAAATCTGTAAAGAAGTTCATCAAACTTTACCTCAGAGCTTCATCGTTACTTTTGTACTTCCTGAGCTGTGCTCATTTGAAAGCTGATAACAGGGTGCTTAAATCCTGCAGAGTATCTCTGAAAATGAAAGTCAATCAAACGACTGTTCTGAATAGCAGTAGGTTATGATGTTCACAGAAGCCCACATTTTTCATGAAACTCAAGACTCAGAAATTCTCACTTTTCTAAATTGTGATGTTTTTTTGTACATCCCAAAATCTCCGGGTGCATTGCCATCACCCTGTGGACCGGAGTAAAGTTACCGGAATAAATGAGTTACTTGATTTGAATTGTTTTGTTCAGTTCAGTTCATAGTTGGTTCATTTCTTCAAAGCTATAGGAAATACCATGACCATTCATACTGCTGTGATGCTAATGTTCCTCAGCTGAGTCGGTATTTCATTCTGTTTCTGTTTCAAACTATTACAATCAGTTCAATACAAAACTTGGTCAATACAAGTACTGTTCATAGCTCAGCAGACACCTACAGTACTGTATTGAAACAGAGTTATCAATTCATGATTTTCTCTGACGCTGTCAGGCTTTATCAATAAGCTTTGAACCAGGAAGTGACATTTTCCCCCCCAGTTGAGCTGACAACATTACTTTCAGTCCCTACGACGACATCCGACACGACAAGAAGCAGGTTGTGAAGAAGCCAACAGTTTATCCAGATACCACTTAGTATTACTCTGGCCTCATCTCTGGCCCTGTCATTGCCATCCACCTTTGAAAGGATGGATATGATGCAGGTTGATATTTAGTTGAGTTCAGTATTGTTGGCTAGGGGAAAAATAAAATCCTGAACTGTATAGCGTGAGCGGATCCTGCCCCGGGGAAAGCTTAAATTGTGGGAAATATAATGTTTTCGGTGGACTTCGCTCAAACTGGCAACCCACTACGTAAGACACACTCTGACCCCTGACCTCTATGCTGGAACCGGCTCTTCTTCTGATAGCAAAAGGGTCTTCCAGCCACCTCTCAGGGTGAAGACTCTGTTCTCTCAGTTTTGCAGCTGCTTTTTATGCTGGTCTGAGGATTGTACCTCCATCAGGTTCATGCGTGACTCACACGAGTCCTCCTGTTTAGTAGGTCAAACACAGGATGTAGGTCCATACAAGGCTTGAGTGACAATTTTATACAAGGCGTCTATGCAGTTTATATGTTTAATCACTTCTATCATGAAATAAAACAGGTTATAAGCTAAATCACTTATATCATGAAATAAAACAGGTTATATGTTGTAATAGTTATACTTTTATGCTTTCATACTTATCTACAATCTTCTTACAACTGATAGTGATGTTTTAACAAGATTCAATACGCTCTTCTGTCTCGGTTAATTTAATCATAGCACTGTTGCTATCAGTAGAAACAACTCAAAACCTCCAAACACTACATCTCCAGTATGTAACACAGGTTTCTGTTTCTTAGCCTCCAAACCCAACACATATACAGTGGGACAGCTCCTCATGAGCCACAGATCATACCACCGTTTAATAGTACACCCCATGACAAAATGACTGACCTTTATCTGTAAAATTGCTGGAGCGCCCTTAAGAGCAACACAACTTCACAGTAGAGCATTCATTTGGCATTGTGCTCCTTTAACTTTGTTGGACTCACAATGGACAGTCCAGAAAAAGGATTGGAATGGATCTCAGTAAAAGCAGAGACCATAACAATTTTTATTTTTTATTCCACGTACTTCTTTGAAAAAAACCTGGTGCCTCCATTACCCACAATAAAACTAGACTGCTAACAGTTTGGTTGGAGATTGGGGTGTGTTATGTTAGTAGCAGCTAATGCAGCCTGGAGCCTCTAGATGAGCCAAACCCCCAGGAAGAGCGCGGGACTTTAAAGCAAATTTGACATCGTGGCCAAACGATGGAAGTACAATTTCCGGGTCCATCACATGAAGCTATGGGGGCCACAAAAACGTTTTCCATAGACTTAGGAAAAGAGACATGTGTAACTCATCAGATAATTTTTTGAGGTAAAACAACTTCCCCATACAAACACTTGAATAGTCCCCCTTTTTTTAATCATTAGGTCTAAAAGATGTAAAATGCACTAATAGCTGAATCCAAAGTTATTGATCTTCCTCCATTCCTGTAAATGAGCCTGAGAACGAGGCTGGATTGGGGACTGGGAGGCGGGGTTAAAGGGAAACGCTAGCACGCTTTCTCTGTGGGCCCATGGAATTTTTATCTGAATTCTTTACTCAGAAGTTGAACTTTTTTGCTTCATGCGCCACTGAGCAAATTTTAACACCACAACGCTGTGACCAGTTCTGTTAAAGTTGAAAATCTTGTTTTTGCTGACCTCCAGTGGTTTAACTTCTCACCTTGTTGCAGTGATGGAGAAGTGTATTCCAGGTGGTGTCAGTATAATGTGACATCATTGTTGTCAACACACTTCTTATACAGAGAGCACTGCTTGTCAGTCTGGTTTAGAATTACCCTTTAAGGGTTCCAGTGGAGAGTTTCAGTGTCCTAAGATGCTGTTTGGCTGCTTCAGAAGTTTCAGGTTCAGGAGGTTTTGAACATGGGCTCAAAATATACAATCCAGAAAAATCAGTATTATGCTTCCCTGAAAAGTAAACAACATAACCAATTGAATTTCTTTGTCTAAACGGTGCTGTAGATCTATTAACTGAGTGGATGAAAGAGAGGGATATATACAAAGTGGAAGTCACAAAATTGAGCTGAGGACATTTCTCCATCATATCTCCATTTCCAAGATTCACTATAGGTTCACTATATGTGGATGGATTTGTGTGTGAGGCCGAATGTGCGTAACTGTATATGTTGTTTAGGTCTGCTCTTGGAAATGCACCCCTCCCTGAATATACAATGCAGTAAATACCACAAATCAAACTCTGCAGCGATAGAAAGCTGTGTTTTGTGGTGTCAGAATGTGTTTCTATCCATGTAAACATGAGGGAACACCCTCCAGATTATATATCTACCATGACAGCAGACAGATCCCACACACACACTTATACACACACTGTCAGCTCCAGCTTCTCATTGGAAAGAGGGGGCTGTAACCAATGGCAACCAGGGAAGGAGGGATGGATGGATGAGTGCCAGAAAAGGGGAAGTCTCCAGAATGAAGTAAGCTTGTTACAGCAACTGTTTGACCAGGAATGACTCAGAGATCTCTCCTTCCTCCATCAACTCCTTCTTCTTCTTGCCCTCTCTCTGCTTCTTATCCTAATCGTATTAACCTTATTTATCTCTTTCTCCTCTCCTTCTCACTAATTCAAATATAAATACCTTTCATTGTAATGAGATATTATTTAAATCTTAATCTATTTAAAGGAGGAAAGGAAATAGGAGATAGGAAAAACAAGGAGGAGGCAAGAGGAGAAAGGAGGAGGGAGGTGATAGGTGGAGAGGAGAGAATAGTGATAAAGGTGGAAGGAGATGAGGGGAAAAGGAAAGGAAAGGTGCGGAAAGGAAATAAAAGATATGAGAGAAGAGGAGACAAAGAAGGAGAGGAGAGAAAAGGAAATTACAAGGAAAGGAGAAAAGAAGAGGAAATACGCAAAGAGAAAAGGAAAGAAAAATAGGAGAAAGATTGAAAGAAAAGAGACAGTTGGATATCAGCAAGGA